AGCTGTGCCATTGATGCCACCCACAGTGCCTCCCTCAGTTCTTCTGGTGTCCATGATATCGGCACTCTGGAGATCTATGCCACCAGAGGACTCTATTGCCTGGACAACACCAACGTCTGCTTCTGTAGTGACGAATCTATGAGGCCGTGGTGGGTGGCAGACCTGGGTATACCTCACGACAGGTCACCTCCATCAGGGAACTTATCTGACATATTGTTGGCCTCGTGAGGAATTTTATACAGTATTAAGTTAAACACCCATAAATAAATCATTATACTTTTGTAATTTTCAGGTCTTTATTTACGTCCCCTACATAAGGACGGCAATTCTATACGCACAGACCAACCGGCAGTCAAACTGAATTACTCAGTCTCTCGTCTCGTAGGGCAGCGGCACCCCAAGTTATACTCCAAGTTGACTGAACTCATAGAGTGTAATAAGACAATTCATTACCTATCAAACATATTAATACTTCTTTGTTGTTATATTGTTAAATTTGTAAAAATAAATAAAAATAAAGAATTTGCCTCCTCACTGTTATTATAATGCCATCACTAAAATGGTACATATATTTATAGTGTGTCTTACCCCAATACATTCATCATAACTACTGTATATCTCCTATATCGTGATTGTACATTTAATGATTAGAAACTATATTACTTATACTGGCTGATCTTCCACGATGGGTCACCTCACAGCTCCTCGACTTCTCAAGTGTCCAAGAGACTGATTTTGTGCTTGGTAACCTTACTGTGTTATAATAACTCATTTCTTCACGGTACTCTGTTATCAGTGTTTTCCACTTCCGTTTTCTCGTGTAATGTGACTGTAAATATTAACAGGCACTATTAACCTCATGGGAGTAAAGATATTATTTTCATAATCTACACCAGGATAAAGGACGTTAATTGGCTCTCAGCGATTAGTACTTAGTTTGAAGAGCCAATCACAGCTCGAATATTTGTTTTGTTTTGTGTTGTCATCTCGTATTTGCTTCTCTCATTGGCTGTTGTAACATCGGAGCCTGGCTGGCGCTGACACTAGTCACAAATTTAGACAACAGTAAAAAATAATGTTTTACTGCACACTGTGAAGTTGTGAGGTGCTGTGAGGTAATGTGGATAGTCGGTGAAGCATGACTGGTATTCTAGCAAGTGTAACAGTCAACACAGTCAGTTGACAGTCAACAAGAACAGGGAGAGAAAGTCAACATGGCGCTGATGGACACCAGTTGTCAAAGACTCTGGCTTGACCATTCACCTGTGGCCCCCTGCTGGACCTGCTCTGTGGCCACCTGCTGGACCTGTACTGTGAGTCTGTGACCATCTGCTGGACCTGCACTGTGGCCACCTGCTGGAGCTCTCCCTTCCACCTTCCTCCCTCACAATCTCCTTCCCACACAATCTTCCTCCCTCACAATCTTCCTCCCTCACAATCTTCTTCCCACACACCCTCCTCACATCTTTTCCCACACTCACAACCTTCATCCTCACAACCTTCATCCCACACATCTTCCTCCCACACACCTTCCACACACCTTCCCCACAATCTTTCCTCAATCTTCCTCCCACACACCCTTCCACACATCTTCTTCCCTCACAATCTTCCTCCAACATAATCTCCCCACACATCTTTTCCCTCACAATCTTCTTCCTCAATCTTCCTCCAACATAATCTTCCTCCCACACATCTTCCTCCCACACAATCTTCCTCCCACACACCTTCCACACACTCCTCCACACCTTCTTCCTCAAATCTTCCTCCCACACACCCTTCCACACACTTCACAATCTTCCTCCAACATAATCTCCACACAATCTTTCCTCACTTCTTCCCTCACACCCTCTCCAACATATTTCCTCCCACATTTCCCACACATCCTCCCACACACCTTCCCACACAATCTTCCTCTCACTCCGGGTTTATTAAATTTTTTACATCACATCGTCGTAAAAGTTTCAACAGTAAAGAAACTTTTCACGAGTATTTTTTTTACCTCCGACGACTTAATGGCGGGGAGTTGTGGTTAAGACTTTACTCTGATGATCAGCTGACGGCTCTGTGGTTGTGGTGGGGTGTGTGGTGGGGTGTGTGGGTGGTAGGGAGGTTGTGTGGGTGTGGTTGTGGTGGGGAGTGTGGTTGTGTGTGTGGCTGTGGTGTGGGTGTGTATGATAGTGTGGTTGTGTGTGGTGTGGGTGTGGCTGTGTGGTGTGGTTGTGATAGGAGTGGAGGTGGTTGTGTGGGTGTGTGGTTGTGGTGGGTGTGTGTGGCTGTGGTGCGGTGTGTTGTGATAGGAGTGGTTGTGTGTGGTGTGTGGTTAGATGGGAGGTGGTTGTGTGTGTGGTTATGGGTGTGTGGTTGTAGGTGTGTGGTTGGTGAAGAGTGTGGTGTGTGTGTGGTTGTAGGTGGTTGTGGTGTGTGTGGGTTGTGTAGGTGTGTTGTGGTGTGTGTATGTAGGGTGTGTGGGTTGTGGTGTGTGTGTGGTTGTGATAGGAGGTGGTTGTGTGGGTGGTGGTGGGAGTGTGGTTGTGATAGGAGGTGGTTATGGTGGGTGTGAGGGTGTGTGGTTGGATAGAGGTGAAGAGGGTGTGTGGTGTGGTGGGTGTGGGTGCGGTAGGTGTGTGGTGTGGTTGATAGAGTGTGGTGTGGAGTGTGTGTGTGGTTGTGGTGGAGTGTGTGGTGGGTCTGTGCAGATTTGCATCCATTGATGCTCACACACACACACACACACACACCCCCACACACACCCCCACACACACACCCCCCCCACACACACACACCCCACCCACACACACACACTTACTCCCCCACACACACACACACACTTACTCCCCACACACACACACTCCCCACACACACCACCTCCACACACACACACACCCCCAAAAACCCCCACACACACACACACACACACACACACACCACCTCCCCACACACACACACCCCCCCACACACACACACACACACACACACCACACACCCACACACACACACACACACTCACACACACACACACACCCCACACACACACACACTCCCCACACACACACACACCCCACACACACACTCCCCCACCCCCACACACACCCCCACACACACACACACACACACCCCCACACACACACACTCACCCCCCCACACACACTCTCCCCCCCACACACACACGAACCTGGAGGTGATACACATTTAATCGTCACCTCCATCACCATGAACTGTACTTTGACGCGGGTTTAGTGAGGACTACAGCGGAGACAGGAAGCCTTCACACCTCTCAATCTCTTCTCATTTACATGCAGCCATCATTAATAGTGAGTAAATACGGCTCTACCTTACCATTCACGGCTGAGTTAAGTACAGCGACGGCAGTTCCCACAAGCAATATGTGAGGAAATTTTGTTTGTAATTATATCTGGAGGTTTCTAGATGTGACGCTGGCGAGAGTATGTGGAGGAGATGTGTGTGTGGTGGGGGAGGTTGGGGAGGTGTGTGGAGTGTGTGTGTGGTGGGAGAGTGATATGGTGTGTGTGTGTGTGTGTGTGTGGTGGGGGAGGTATGTGTGGTGGGGGAGGTGTGTGTGTGGTGGGGGAGTGTGTGTGGTGGGGAGGTGTGTGGTGGGGGGAGGTGTGTGTGTGTGTGTGTGTGTGTTGTGTGTTTTACCCTGACACAATACTTAGTTTACCATAACATAAAGTAAACCGGGGTAATGACACACCTGGTCGAGTGTTCACCGCGCCACTAATTAATACATAACAATAAAGAATCATGAGCAGGATCGCCCCATAGGGATTAGGGGGCAGAGAACCTTAATCCCTCTTGTTAATCCCTAAATCTCCAGTTAATCCCCTGAAGGAGTGTTGTTGGCCCTTAGTTATTGTAGCCTTGGGTTTACCCTTTAAAGCCTTGAGCCTTTTAATTAGATGTCTCAACATTTAGTAACCCTTAACCTTTATTGGGCCTCGACCCCTTAGTAATCCTTCAGCCTTCCTTAGTAACGCTTTAGCCCCAAACTCTTAATAGAACTTTTCCCTTTAAGTACAGTGATTGTATAAGAGAGAGAGAGAGAGAGAGAGAGAGAGAGAGAGAGAGAGAGAGAGAGAGAGAGAGAGAGAGAGAGAGAGAGATCAGTCAACACTACCAACTTAAATGTTTACACGTTTCTATAAGTGAAAACTTGATAACGTAAATAAATATAAGATATGATATGGGGTGATGGTAGGGGAGAAATTGGGACCTCAAAGATTATTATATTTTCTCAACCAATATATATAAATAACAAATAATATTATCATACTCAGTGATGGAATTATTTTTATGGTAAAATATTTTAACATCTGGATAAATCAACAAGGAAAACAATATAAAACAAACAACAAAGTTCACAGTAAAGACAGCTCCCCCCCTTGTGGTATTCCCCGACTGTTTATTGATGTATTAAATTCCTATGTAAATGTCTGTAATTTGTATAGGAATATGGTTTGATATATATTTTTATAAATTATCTATATTATGTAGTGATACAAATTTTGGTAAGTGGACTTATTTTATGACGAAAGAATAGAAACGTTTTGAGTTAATTTCTCTCTTGATATCTGTCAACAAGCCAGTGGTACCAACACAACATTGTCTGCGATAAACTTATTCTCACACGAGGTTTAATTTAGAAGGTTTATATAAAGATCATCACTTACAGGTGTACAAGATATATTAATGGTGACTTTTTGTATCACCTTCCTGACACTTCTAGCCATTAATGACATCACACTTAGGATCTGACAACATTAACAATAACTTCAACAATAACGCATTTATACATCCTGTTTAAGAAGTAATAATGAGAAAATACCGCAACATATATTAAAAAACATCAATATATTCAGTAGTTAAGGTTAATGAAGACTAGATATTTGTATAATGAAATACAATAGAGATAAAATAAACAAATCTAGTCATTAAGGGTAGCTGGCAACACTAACAAGGTACCACCAGATTCCCAGCTATCCCGCCTCACTCCTGAAGGTCAAGCTACAGCACAAAGCGACGCCAGAAGGATTAGTGACACACACGAGTTTTCTAAACACTTTCATCTACCACACGTGTTGTATGTACTACACCCAGACTCAGTGTATCAGGGCAGATACAGTGTAGTGTGTGCCGCTGTACTCGTGGCTGAATCAGTGTACAGTGGTGGAAACGTGTTCCTGCACCCTTTGTGGTTACCCAAGAGATACAGTGTTGTATGTGGCCCTCGCTGTACTAGTGGCAAACTCTGTGTATCAGGACAGATACAGGCAGCAGTGTTGGCAATAATGAAGGAAGATAAATACGTAAATGAACAGAAGTTCTTAAATCCCCGGTACAGTGTATTGTGTAGGTGTTCCTACTCCCCGGCAGTGTACTACAGTGAACAAAAACAATAACTGGCAACTGTCACCGTCTAGTAACGTAAAGTGACTATAACTAACTGAACCATTAAAATCTGCTTAAACAACAGGTACAGTAATTGAGTATTTGTAATATTAGTACCATGTGTGCATGTATGAGCAGGTAACCACAAATGAAAAAAAAAACACAATACCCAAGCGCTTTCGTACAATTTACAGATTCAGGGGTGAACAGAGATGCGAATTACACGAAAGCATTTGGGAATTTCGTCTTTTCTTTTTCATTTGTGGTTATGAGCATACACATGTATCACGCACACCTACATTGATTTATTTGCATGTATGTATTTATGTGTGTGTGTGTGTGTGGAAAGGAGACAGTCTGTTTGCGTTCTGACCTCACTAGAGGAAAGGTCACGGCTGCTTAGCTCTGCTCCCGGGGATAATTATCAGATTTGGCTAGAGCATCTTGGGAACGGGGTTACGCCCTGCTGTGGGCCGAGTTATAGAGTACCAAGGAAAAAAACCTGAAATTAGAGGAAGAAAACTTGAAATTAAAGGAAGAGATAGCAAGGATGAAGGAAGAAACGAGACAAGGAAAACCGGTGAATGACGATAACTCTGGGGAATGGAAGGTTGTGAGGAGAGGGACGACCAAACTGGTGGTGAAGAAACACACCAAGGAAACGACAACAACAACAGCTAAGTGTACCAACTCGTTAAGTCCTTTGATAGACGAATTGGACGTTAGTACAGTCAGGGACGGGGCAGACAAGGAAGGTATAAAAACTTTAATTGTTGGTGACTCACAGGTAAGGTACTTGGACAGACCCTTTTGTGGTAAAAATAAAAATAGGATGAGGGTGTGTTTGCCAGGGGCTGGGGTGGGGGATATAGTTGACAGGATGGACAATGTCTTGTCTGGTAATGGGAACAAACCCATTATCTGCCTCAGTGCAGGAGGCAATGATATTGGCCGGTGTAGGAGTGAAAAGCTTCTTGATAAGTTCAAGACAGCTATAGATCGTAATAGGGCTAAGGGAGGTATCCCTATCATATGTGGTGTCCTGCCTAGAAGGAGAGTTAGCAATGAATGGTTGTCAAGGGCAGTTGGTGTCAACGGCCATATTGACGGATATTGCAAGTCAATATCAGTCCCATTCATTGACAACTGGGACAACTTCTACGGCAGAAGGGACCTTTACGCTAGGGATGGGGTACACCTGTCTTGGGATGGGGTGGCAATCCTGGCTGGGTCTCTAGAGGGGGGCAGTTCAAAAGATATCGAAGTCTTTCAACTGCTAGGGGTATTAGGGCCTTGGTATGTACCGAAAAAATCGATATAATAGCATTCACTGAAACATGGATCAACCTAGACTCATGTGAGTTACCTGTCGAATACCAAATTACGGATTTCAAATTGTTCCATACCGATAGGCCGTCCAGGAAAGGAGGCGGAGTAGCAATCTACAGTATGTCAGGGATAATCTGAAGTGTGAAATAAATAAGGAAATAATAACTGAGCGGAATACAGAAACAATTTGGAAAGAATTAATCGACGGTAGGGAAAAATTAATCATAGGAGTAATATATAGACCTCCCAATCTTGATAGCGTCAATGAGCGACTTATCTGGGATGAAATGCGCAGGGCTTCCATACACAACAAAGTCTGTATAGTAGGCGATTTTAACCTTGGCCAAATAGATTGGACTGACCTTACGGGTAACTCAGTATCAGAGGATTTCCTCGAAACGATCCAGGACTGTTTCCTAAGTCAACATATAACCGAACCCACCCGGGGTAATAATATACTCGATTTAGTTCTGTCGAACAGAGAAAACCTCATTAGCAATGTCGAGGTAGGGAACGAACTTGCAAACAGCGATCACAAAGAAATTAGATTCCAGTTAGATTTTCAGGGCAGAGGTAAGGAGAATGCCATTAAAGTCCCAGATTTCAGAAGGGCAAACTTTGATAGTTTAAAGAGGCAGCTGAGTGAGGGGGTATCGCGCTTGGGTGTGAACCTGACAGATGACACCGACCTGATAATGCGATCTGTGATTGCCGAGTTCCACGACAATTTAAATAATGAGTTACTTAATGCACAAAGGCAGAATATACCATACAAAAAACTCAGATCAGACAACAATGACCCTAGATGGATAAATAATTATTTAAAGAACATTATTGGCTAAAGGAAGGCTATAGGTAGAAGGATAAATCGTGGCGAAATTTACCTCCGGGAGTGTTATAAGGTATTGGCCGGTAGGGTTAAGACTGAGAAAAGAAAAGCAAAGAGGAATAATGAACTGAAGATAGCAGGGGAGGCGAAGACAAACCCCAAAGGATTCTACCAAATGTATCAAACTAAAACACAAGATAAGATTGGACCAATAAGTTCAGATACCTTTGAGCTAACTGATAACGACGGAGAAATGAACAATAATCTGAATAAATATTTTTCAACAGTTTTCACCACCGAAAATTTAAACATGATACCCGAGGCACCGACTCTATTCAGAGATAGTGAAGAAAATAAATTAAGTGAGATAGTAGTGACTAGTAACGATGTTAATAAGCAAATAGACAAACTGAAGCCTAATATGTCACCTGGGCCCGATGAGATATTTGCCAGAGTATTAAAGGTATGTAAGGAAAAGCTTAGTATGCCCTTAACGAAGTTGTTTAACATGTCATTAAAAACAGGTGTAGTACCAGAATCCTGGAGGTTAGCAAATGTAATACCGATTTTCAAGAAGCGGGATAGATCACTATCCTCTAACTACCGCCCAATCAGTCTAACATCAATAGTAGGCAAATTACTAGAATCAATCATTTCAAACTCTTCGAAACCACCTGGAGAAGCACAAGTTGATCAATGATTCCCAACATGGCTTCACAAGCGAGCGTTCATGTCTAACTAATCTATTAACATTCTTTTCATCAGTTTTCGAATCGGTGGACGAGGGGCACAATTATGATGTGGTATATCTCGACTTTAGTAAAGCCTTCGACAGAGTCCCCCATGAAACACTAATTAGAAAGGTAGAGGGGCATGGCATCAAAGGTAATATCCTTAAATGGATTAGGGCGTGGTTACGGGACAGGAAACAACGAGTGAGCATAAACGGCACTAAATCGAATTGGAGCAACGTCACTAGTGGAGTTCCCCAAGGCTCAGTACTTGGACCATTATTATTTATTATATACATTAACGACATAGATATCGGCATAGACAGCAACATAAGTAAATTTGCTGATGACACTAAAATAGGACGTGTAATTAAATCTGACGAGGACTCTGCAAAACTACAGGAAGATCTAAACAAATTTTTCGAATGGTCGGAAAAATGGCAGATGAAATTCAATGTGGACAAATGTAAAGTACTCAGTATAGGAGATGTAAACAGGAAAACCAGTTCCCAGATGATCAACGATGCCATTGTGGAATTCGACTGCGAGAGAGATTTAAGAGTAATGACAAGTAGGAATCTTAAGCCAAGTAAACAATGTGTTTTTGCTCGTAACAAGGCTAATAAAGTACTTGGGTTCATACAAAGGAGTGTTAGTTACAAGACTAGAGAGGTCATCTTAAAATTATATCTAGCACTTGTGAGACCTCACCTGGATTATGCAGTTCAGTTCTGGTCACCGTATTACAGAATGGATATAGAATCCTTGGAAAGAATCCAGAGGAGAATGACAAGACTAATCTCTGACATTAGGAACCTTGAGTACAGAGACAGGTTAAAGCATCTTAATTTGCACTCCCTCGAGAGACGTAGAGTGAGGAGCGACATGATAGAGGTGTATAAATGGAAGTCAGGGTTAAACAAATGGGACATTACAAAGGTACTTACACTATCCAACCAGGAGCAAACTCGTAACAATGGTTTTAAATTAGACAAATTTAGATTTAGGCGTGAAATAGGTAAGCACTGGTTTGGAAACAGAGTAGTGGATGAATGGAACAAGTTACCAAATATCATCATTAACTCGAATACGCTGGATAACTTCAAACATAGGTTGGATGCTTTTATGAGCAATAGGGGTTGGGTATAAACGGGACTGCCCAGTATGGGTCAATAGGCCCGCTGCAGTTTCCTCCATTCTTATGTTCTTATGTTAACACGGCGTTGTAATCATAACACCATGAGAAAAAATAAACCTCTTAAGCTTAAGTTGGGATTGGTGTAACTCTCACAGTCACTTCTATATACATATAGAACAGTTTAGCATTATGAGATGACTTAGTGTAAGCTTAGCATTGACCTCTGACACACTATTTTTCAACATTGAGATTTTTGAAACGTGTAATTAGCTTTCAAAGATATTCTGTCTCCATGGTGAAATGTACAACATGTTAATAACCGTTTGGTGTTCTGTTTCTCCCGATAAAATAATCTTGCAACATGTAACAAAAGTTCTGTAATGTTATGTCTGTCCGTCTTGACATCACTTAAACACATCGCATGAAAACGTCACATCAATATTACTTAGACATGACGCTATAACCTTGATTAAATATCACTATAACATCACTGAATAATATCACTACAACCATACTTAATTATGTTATTACAACATCACTTTAATATATCATTACAGTTTTACTTAAAATGGTATTACAGCATCACTTAAATCTCTGTACATCACTTACATAGTCACTATAACTTTACTTAAATATATCACTACAACACCACTTTAATACTACTTGTACTTAACTTAACCATATTAAAAAAAAATACGAGAATTTTATATTACACAATATCACTTAAACATTTGACTTAAGAAAAAAATAAATTCAATATAGATAACTTTGTCTTTGAGATTCAATTCGAAAGAGTTGTGTGTTGTGCAGACTTGTATCAGGTTAGGTTAGGTTAGGTTAAGTTAGGTAAGGTTAGGATAAGGTAGGTTAGGCTGGTAAGTTTTTTTTAAGAACACTGTAAATATTTGTGTTGTAGGAAGTTGTGTCAGTTCAGTATTGAGATACAGGCTACGCAAAGTGAAACCATTGTATTGTATTAAGATTTTCTTGTCTGTAAATTAACATATTTAAACTTTTTCAGTTGTGGCGGCTTACGTCGTCACATCACATCAAGTTACGTCGTATGTGTGTCTCCTGGTCTGTATACACAGTGGGGGTACTCCCTGACATTGTGAGGCCCTTCCTAACATTGTGAGGATCTCCCTGGCACTGTGAGGCACTTCCAGACACTTTGTGGCACTCCCTAATACTATAAGGCACTCCCTGAACTTGTGAGGATCTCCCTGACACTGTGAGGCACTTCTTGAAACACTGTAATACTAAGTTTCACATTTGGTAACTGAAACGCTTGTACAGGTGTTCCGAGCCACAGGTGTCCCAACATACTGTATGACCTGAGCTAAGTGATCATCTGTTATGAGCTTGTGTATTAATGAAGTGACTTACAACACTTATAAGAGGAGAAGAAAACAATGATCTATATGTGCACAATAAATAAAACAAGAAAATAAGTGAAAAAAATATATAATGAATTCAATTTGTATGTGTATTTGAGTTTCTTAAACACGCTGGTGAAGTGATAGTGAGTGGTGGTGATATAAGTGAAGGCTATTAGTTTGTAAGTGTCTTGGAAACTTATAATTTATGTGTTTTAAGTGTCTGTTGGTTTAGGGAAATAACACGTATGTAACCACGAGTTGTGTCGTTGTTGGTGCGACTTTGTTGTGGTTGGCGTGGCTGAAGAAAGGGAAGAAACTGCAAATTTGTCTTTATAAAAGATAAGATGTGATAAAGAAGTTCTCAGAGACGTAAAGTGACGTAAATAAAGTGTTAAGTCGCGTGTGACTGACAAGTGTATAAATTACCGTAATGAAGATGATCAAATGGTCCTGGAGGTAGATGATTTACTTATGACAGTGTATAAAAACAATGCCCCTAAATAAGTGTTATGACGCTAGTAGTGGTGAAGTGATGCCTGTTGACTGGTGAGGAATTTCTTGGGTAAACCTAATATGATGGAGGTGGCGAGGCGAGGGTGGTGGCTGCTGTCTGGCTCAGGGGTGTTGATGATGGTGACAGCTGCCTCCGTCAACCCTCACGCAGGATACAACACACAAGACATCAATTTTGGCCGCTTCTTCAAGGCGGCCACACAGACCAGTAAACGCCTGCTGAAGGAGGTGTTTCTGCTGATGATCAGCAGGTACCAGGTGAGGGCCGTGGACAAGTGGCCAACCACCGTAGCAGAATTCTGCGCCGATATTCTCTCCTGGTCCAAGAGCAAATATCGCAATGGCTTCAACGAGGAGGAGCGATCCGTGTTGGAGCAGCCGCTTGCCTCAGCTGACTACGATGTCTCCCTCCTGACCAAAATGATCCACAAGTTGCTGCCAGAGATGAACTTGCCGGAGTCCTTCTTGAGGGCCTTACGAGAACTCAAGAATGTCAGGAACAGAGTGTGTCACCAACACCAGCTGCTGGACGACGCCAACCTCAGAGGAAATTTTGATGACCTTAAAGTTATTTTCGATAATGTCCTGAGAGAAACAGGAGAGTTCTTCACAGCTGACGTGGCTGACCTGAAGAATATGATCCAACACGAAACTGACGAGATCTTATCTTCACCCTTGCCGGCAGATGCCTCCAAGTATTTTGATTTCGTTGAAAAGTTTCGAGTTGACCTTGTGGGCAAGTTTATCACTTATGCTCGACCAGAGTTGATGAATGAATACTGCAAGTTGAAGACTCTCAACCCCTTCACGTGGCTGAGTAACGACCAGTTTCCAGAGATGGTGGTGGGCAAAATCTTTACTCCTCTTGATATTGAGGATGATGAAAGGACTGTTGACATAGAATCACTTCTCTCGACAGAGTCACTCTGTCCGGAGACACAAGAGGCCTCGGGAATACTCCCATCCGCCCTCCTTCTCTCGGGTATAGCTGGTTGTGGCAAAACATCGCTGTGTCGCTACTTGCTTCATGACTGGAGAGCCAGACCCGGTAAGATCGCTGCCCTCAGGTCCGTCGACGTCATTCTCCATATTGAGGTCAGGAATATAACAAGCAGCTCTCTGCTGCCACACTTACAGAACACTTTGTTGAGGGAAACTTGCAAATTGTTTGAAGAAAATGACGTCATTAAAATCTTGCAACAGATGAACGTGTTGTATATCATAGATGGAATGGACGAGGCGACGGCAGATGGCAAAAAACTGGTGAACGAGGTGCTGTCAGTTGTTGGTAACGCGAGAGTTATCATAACTACACGTCCAGAGTTTACCTGTTACATCACCCAGGCACTACACAGGTACCGCCTCACCTTCATCAAACTCCGTATTCAAGGGTTTTCTGACCAAGGAATAACAGAGTTTACCTCAAATGTGTTCGCGGCTCTTGTAAGTGACGAGGAGAAACGTCGCCAGCAAGAGTGTGAGTTTCTGAGGCTGTTGAAGACTACTGGCAGAGGCCTGGGCGACCACCTCAAGCTACCCCTCACCTTGGCCATGGTCATCTGCCTCTCGAGGGACGACCAGTCCAGGCTGTCACACGTCACTTCTGCTACAAGTCTATATTCCGAGATATTCAGGATGTGCACCATGAAGATGATCTCGAGGCTAGACACAACCACGGGTCTTCATCCCCTGCAGATGGAGACCTTCACGGAGGAGTGGCTGCTGGCACTGGGCAAAGAGGCGCTGGAGATGCTTGATGATAATGAGTTTGTTATTAGTGATGACAGACGTAATGTGTTAATGTCCCTGTGTGCAGCTAAACACATTGACAGTATTCAGGTCCTGTCTGCCTTCCTCATGTGTGAAGTGAATGAGAGTATTAAGGGTACACAGTATGAGTTCCGTTTTATACACAAAAGCCAAATGGAGTATCTGGCTGCCATCTATCTGGTCTATACTTTAAATTTAGCTGCTAATACCAACGGACAAAAAATAGCGGACATACTGCAAAAGCTCGGAGCCACGAAAGTGAGTGTGAAGGTAAACAAGTTGTTGGTGGGCGTCCCAGAGTCGAGGGTGTTGTCCTCCATGAAGGCCTGCAGATGGAGTAACACTCTTAGCTTTATTGTCGGCCTCTTGTGTAAGAATAAGGCCTCGGATTTTTTGATTCATGACGTGGTAAAGAATATGTTAGAAATGCATTTAGATTCTTTCAACGCCCCTGCTCTCTGGCAGATGGTCCAGGAGTCTGGCTGTCATCCCTTGGTCTGCAAAATGGTTAGTGGTGCTTCTTACAAAAACTTCGTATGGCGCCCAAAGCAAAAAGACTTGTGTAATCCCACCGACCCAATATTCCAGCTATTTATACACACACGTTTGAAGTTGAAAGCAGCTGTGATCAGGGTTGTCGGCAGTGATCAAGAGGTAAACATCCTGGCAGAAAACGGTCGTGTAGAAAATAAAAGATATGAGAACTTGTCTCTCTTGATGAGCCTGCTCGCTCAGAGACCCTCCATGGGGGTGGTGGTGAGGGCGGACCAACACTTCTACTGCTGGGGAAGTCCTCACACCACCGACCACCTAATAACAACACTTCTGCCAAAAGGCAACTTGACAGCTGTCATGTGTCATCTGGGTGAGCGAGGGGCTGCTGCCCTGGCCGCCGTCAAGAAGATCGGGGAAGTGTGCATCAGGATCTCAGATGTGTCAGCGCTGCGTGCCCTGAGAGACTCGCTGTCCGCCATCACAGGAAAGTTAGAAGCCTTGACTCTTCGTCTGGATATACCGTGGACGGTGTCACCCTCGACACTGCCAACCTTTAAGAAGCCCCTCGACCTCACCATCGTCTTGAAGGACGTGGACGATGATCACGGTGTGTGGGCCGCTGAGGTCATAGCTCGACTCAGCTCCTTGTACACGGAGGTAGACCTCGTGGCCTCCAGCCTCACACCCTCTGGTGGAGAGACTTTCCTTAAGACTCTCAGGGAGAGGCAGGTGATGATCTCTGACAAGCTGACGATACGTTCCTTCCACAAACTGGAGGAGGGACAGTACCAGAAGATGGCCCAGATGGTCCAGTGTTCCTTATGTTGGTGGTACTGATGGTCCAGTGTTCCTTATGTTGGTGGTACTGATGGTCCAGTGTTTCTTGCTACTGATGGTCCAGTGTTCCCTGGTACTGATGGTCTAGTGTTCCTTGGTACTGATGGTCCAGTGTTCCCTGGTACTGATAGTCCAGTGTTCCCTGGTACTGATGGTCTAGTGTTCTTTGGTAGTGATCTCACTTATCCTGTTACTTTCGTCACCTTACTCGTAACAAAACCTCCCCGTCACCTCACTCGTAACAACACCGCCGTCACCTCACTCGTAACAAAACCTCCCCGTCACCTCACTTGTAGCAACAGCCCCCAGTCACCTCACTCGTAACAACACCCCCCAGTCACCTCACTCGTAACAACACCCCCCCGTCACCTCCTCTCTTAACACCCCCAGTCACCTCACTCGTAACAACACCCCCCGTCACCTCACTGCAACAACACCCCCGTCACCTCCTCCCATGTCACCCCCTCACCATTTACACCCCGTCCTCAACACCCCCGTCACCACAACACCCCGTCACCTTACTCGTAACAAAACCTCCCCGTCACCTCACTCGTAACAACACCGCCGTCACCTCACTCGTAACAAAACCTCCCCGTCACCTCACTTGTAGCAACAGCCCCCAGTCACCTCACTCGTAACAACACCCCCCAGTCACCTCACTCGTAACAACACCCCCCACAGTCACCTCATTCGTAACAACACCCCCAGTGACCTCACTCGTCACACACCTGAGAGTCACACCTGTACATTGTGACTGTAATTTATTAACTTCCTTCTAGAATGAATGTCATGTCACTATGTATTATAATTAACTGAACTTCTAAGTAATAAAACATTAAGAAATCTCGCTCTGTTTTCTCTCGCCTTTCGTACTTCAAACTCTCAAAGATAAAAACTGGAAGACATTATGCAAACTTAATTCATGTTCTCCAAAAAACATTCAAGAAATTAAAATAGGAAGGAATTGTCAAGCAAATTTTAAGTCTGTCTAGTGAAGGTTACTCTACAATTCTATGATCAGATGTATAGTTCATGACGTGTATAGTTCATGACGTGTATAGTTCATGGCGTGTATAGTTCATGACGTGTATAGTTCATGGCGTGTATAGTTCATGGCGTGTATAGTTCATGGCGTGTATAGTTCATGACGTGTATAGTTCATGACGTGTATAGTTCAGGACGTGTATAGTTCATGGCGTGTATAGTTCATGACGTGTATAGTTCATGGCGTGTATAGTTCATGGCGTGTATAGTTCATGACGTGTATAGTTCATGACGTGTATAGTTCATGGCGTGTATAGTTCAGGACGTGTATAGTTCATGGCGTGTATAGTTCATGACGTGTATAGTTCATGGCGTGTATAGTTCATGGCGTGTATAGTTCATGGCGTGTATAGTTCGCGACGTGTATAGTTCTGGCGGCGTGTATAGTTCAGGACGTATAGTTCATGGCGTGTGGTATAGTTCATGGCGTATAGTTCGCGACGTATAGTTCATGGCGTGTATAGTTCATGACGTGTATAGTTCATGGCGTGTATAGTTCATGGCGTGTATAGTTCATGACGTGTATAGTTCATGGCGTGGCAGTTCAGGACGTATAGTTCATGGCGTGTATAGTTCATATGTGTATAGTTCATGACGTAGTTCATGACGTATAGTCTGGCGGCGTATAGTTCATGACGTGTATAGTTCAGACGTAGTTCATGACGTGTATATTTCATGACGTGTATAGTTCAGGACGTGTATAGTTCAGGACGTGTATAGTTCAGGGACGTATAGTCTATGACGTATAGTTCATGACGTGTATAGTTCATTACGTGTATACATCATGACGTAAGTTCGTGACGTATAGTTCATGACGTATAGTTCAGGACGTATAGTTCAGACGTATAGTTCAGACGTATAGTTCATGGCGTGTATAGTTCATGACGTATAACTATGACGTATAGTTCATGACGTATAGTTCAGGACGTATAGTTCAGGACGTGTATAGTTCAGGACGTATACGCTCAGTGACGTGTTCGACGTGTATAGTTCATGACGTAAGTTCATGACGTATATTCAGAGAGGCGAGTGTATAGTTCAGGACGTATAGTTCAGACGTATAGTTCATGACGTGTATAGTTCAGGACGTATATCATGAGTACGTCATGACGAAGTCTCGTGACGTATAGTCCATGACGTGTATAGTTCAGACGTATAGTTCATGACGTGTATAGTTCAGACGTATAGTTCACGTGTATACGTCATGACGTAAGTTCGTGACGTGTATAGTTCACGACGTGTATAGTTCAGGACGTATAGTTCATGGCGTGTATAGTTCATGACGTATACGCCGCGACGTAAGTTCGTGACGGTAGTCATGGTGAAGTTCAGGACGTAGTTCATGACGTATAGTTCAGGACGTATAGTTCATTGATGTATACGCTGCGACGTAAGTTCGTGACGTGTATAGGTCATGACGTGTATAGTTCAGGACGTATAGTTCATGACGTATAGTTCATGGTGTATACGTCATGACGTGTATAGTTCATGACGTATAGTTCAGACGTATAGTTCAGGACGTATAGTTCATTACGTATACGTCATGACGTGTTCAGGACGTGTATAGTTCAGACGTGTATACGTCATGACGTGTATAGTTCATGGCGTGTATAGCTCGTGACGTGTATAGTCTGGCGGCGTATAGTTCAGGACGTGTATACGCTGCGACGTGTAGTAGTTCAGGACGTATAGTTCGTGACGTGTATAGTTCATGACGTGTATAGTCCATGCGCGTATAGTCCATGACGTATAGTTCATGGCGTGTATAGTTCGTGACGTATAGTTCGTGACGTGTATAGTTCATGACGTATAGTTCATGGCGTGTATACGTCGACGTGCAGTTCATGGCGTGTATACGTCGCGACGTGTATAGTTCATTGATGTATACGTCATGACGTGTAAGTTCAGGACGTGTATAGTTCATGGCGTGTATAGCCTACGACGTGTATAGTTCATTACGTGTATACGTCATAACGTTAAGTTCAGGACGTATAGTTCATGGCGTGTATAGCCTATGACGTGTATAGTTCATTACGTGTATACGTCATGACGTGTAAGTTCAGGACGTGTAAGTTCATGACGTGTAGAGTCTATGACGTGTATAGTTCATTACGTGTAGAGTTCATGACGTAGAGTCCATGACGTGTATAGTTCATGACGTGTATAGTCTCATGACGTGTAGAGTTCATGACGTGTAGAGTTCATGACGGTAGAGTTCATGACGTGTTTACGTCACGACGTAAGTATCAGGACTCTGGTGGGTTAGTAGAAGGTGGCTGATGCCACACCTCACAACACCTCATCACACCTCACCATACCTGGGCCACACTCACCACACCTGGGCTGCACCACCACACCAGGGCCACACCTCACCACACCTCCACACCTCACCACCTGGGCCACACCTCTCCACACCTGGGCACACCTCCACACCTGGGCCACACCTCACCACACCTGGGTCACACCTCACCACACCAGGGCCACACCTCACACACACCCACACCTCACCACACCTGGGCCACACTCTCACCTCACTAGGCCACACCTCACCACCTGGGCCACACCTCAACACACCTGGGCCACACCTCACCGCACCATAATGTTCGATAGTCTCAGAAACGAAAATAAAAAGTATCACAACACCTGGTTTACCTTAATGACCCATGAGTGAGTTAGGTGATAAAGCTGCATATACCTGTCATCATTCAGGTGCTAATGAACGTGTGTTATCAGGCCGTGTAATGGCGGGTACAAACATAGTATTGTGATATGTTCCAAAAACATTAGAGTTTACTGATAACTTGCTGATAAAAACTTTAGGAAATTAGTTGAATACGTTACACACACACACACACACACACACACACACACACACACAGACACACACACACGCACACACACACACACACACACACACACACACACACACACACACAGAAGTGAAGAAACATAAAAATTTTTACGTCGTTTCTCATATGTTATTGTTCTGCCATGATAGAGTAGCTAGCAAGCATGTGTCTGCCATTCTACCAGCTGATACATGCTGTCTGCCACTCTACCAGCTGATACATGTGTCTCGCCACTCTACCAGCTGATACATGTGTTCCCACTCACCAGCTGATACATGTGCTGCCACTCTACCAGCTGATACATGTGTGTCTGCCATTCTACCAGCTGATACATGTGTGTCTGCCACTCTACCAGCTGATACATGTGTCTGCCACTCTACCAGCTGATACATGTGTGTCTGCCACCTACCAGCTGATACATGGTGTCATGCCACCTCACCAGCTGATACATGTGTCTCTGCTTCTACCAGCTGATACATGTGTGTCTGCCACTCTACCAGCTGAACTGTGTGTCTGCCACTCTACCAGCTGATACATGTGTGTCTACCACTCTACCAGTGATGTGTGTCTGCCACTCTACCAGCTGATACATGTGTGTTCAGCACTTACCAGCTGATACATGTGTGTCTGCCACCCCAACACCACAAGTAACAACCAGCGCAACAGCACAAGTAACAACGACCCCAACAACTGCACAAGTAACAACGACCCCAACGCCTGCACAAGTAACAACGACCCCAACAACTGCACAAGTAACAACAACCCCAACACCTGCACAAGTAACAACGACCCTAACAACTGCACAAGTAACAACAACCCCAACACCTGCACAAGTAACAACCAGCGCAACAGCACAAGTAACAACGACCCCAACACCTGCACAAGTAACAACGACCCCAACAACTGCACAAGTAACAACGACCCCAACGCCTGCACAAGTAACAACGACCCCAACAACTGCAAGAACAACCCAACACCCAACACCTGCCAAGTAAAACACAAACTGCACAAGTAACAACGACCCAACACCTGCGTAACAACGACAACAACTGCAGTAACAACACCCAACACCTGCAGAAACGAAACTGCCAAGTAACAACAACCCCAACACCTGCACAAGTAACAACGACCCCAATAACTGCACAAGTAACAACAACCCAACACCTGCACAAGTAACAACGACCTAACACCTGCACAAGTAACAACGACCCAACAACTGCCAAGTAACAACGACCCCAATAACTGCCAAGTAACAACGACCCCAACACCTGCAAACACCACACCCAGTAACACAAAAACAGTAACAACGACCCCAACACCTGCACAAGTAACAATGACCCCAACAACTGCACAAGTAACAACGACCCCAATAACTGCACAAGTAACAACGACCCCAACACCTGCACAAGTAACAATGACCCCAACAACTGCACAAGTAACAACGACCCAACAACTGCACAAGTATCAACGACCCAACAACTGCACAAGTAACAACAACCCAACACCTGCACAAGTAACAACGACCCCAACAACTGCACATAACAACGACCCCAACACCTGCACAAGTAATACAACGACCCAACATCTGCACAAGTAACAACGACCCAACACCTGCACAAGTAACAACGACCCCAACAACTGCACAAGTAACAACGACCCCAACACCTGCACAAGTAACAACGACCCCAATAACTGCACAAGTAACAACCCAACACCTGCACAAGTAACAACGACCCCAATAACTGCACAAGTAACAACAACCCCAACACCTGCACAAGTAACAACGACCCCAACACCTGCACAAGTAACAACGACCCCAACAACTGCACAAGTAACAACGACCCCAATAACTGCACAAGTAACAACGACCCAACACTCACAAGTAACAACGACCCCAATAACTGCACAAGTAACAAAACCAAACCAGTAACAACGACCCCACGCATAAACAACCCACAACTGCACAAGTAACAACGACCCCAACAACTGCACAAGTAACAACGACCCCAACACCTGCACAAGTAACAACGACCCCAATAACTGCACAAGTAACAACGACCCCAACACCTGCACACCCAATCACATATTTATTGACAAACAATGAATCTGGAGACTTTATATCCATCTTGTACAACATCAATTTACAGTAAAAATGTGATATTTTATTGCTTGTTTTATTAAGCATTATGAGGTGAGGTGATGGTCGTGACGTGAGTGTTATGATTATTCACTCGTAACCTTCACTAGATTACACTGAGGATTAATAACAGTTAATAACACAAACACAAAAGAAGGCTGATAATCTAATACATACCCCCCAAAAAAAGAGACTTATCTGATTTGTATTTGTGTATAATTCGCCATTACTTTTTAAATCCTGGAGTGTCAGGGAGTATAGGATGTACTGAACTGTCCTTACTCCACTCCACCCCACTCCACTCCACTGATGCCCTCCTCTCTCCGGCTACTCTATTCTCCTCTACTTATGATCCAATACTTACGAATTCTGATCATCCACCAAAGACAAGAGAGTCTGATCATGACAGGAAACTCACATATACAGTTCTCGAATACAATAACAAAATTCGATAATTAGTGAAAATCAATGATGGAACAGAAGGTCTTGGTGAGGTGTATAGTGTTGTGGTCCATGGCTGATTTCCTGACGTACAAGATAATGGTGATTGGTTACTCTAGATATAATAGAGAATGGTGATTGGTTAGTCTGGAAGTAGTAGAGAATGGTGATTGGTTAGTCTGGACGCAGTAGAGAATGGTGATTGGTTAGTCTAGACGCAGTAGAGAATGGTGATTGGTTACTCTAGAAATAATAGAGAATGGTGATTGGTTACTCTAGAAATAATAGAGAATGGTGATTGGTTAGTCTGGAAGTAGTAGAGAATGGTGATTGGTTAGTCTAGACGCAGTAGAGAATGGTGATTGGCTACTTTAAGGTGTCTGGTACATACTACAGGTCTAGTACTTAGTGTACAATTGAGGCTATATATCCTTTGTCAATCTCTTCTGGCTAACCCGGTTATATAGCGTGTTGGAGATTGGTTGTTCTCTCTCTCTCTCTCTCTCTCTCTCTCTCTCTCTCTCTCTCTCTCTCTCTCTTTCTCTCTTTCTCTCTCTCAAACACACTCCTGTTCGCAAAGAGTCTGACCTACGTCTTAAATTTGGCCGGGAACTGACAACCTGATACAACCTGATAGAGGTCTACAGAGGTCGAGGCTACAGAAGTCGAGGCTACAGAGGTCGAGGCTCCAGAGGTCGAGGCTACAGTGGTCGAGGCTACAGAGGTCGAGGCTACAGAGGTCGAGGCTCAGAGGTCGAGCTGCAGTGGTCGAGGCTAGAGGTCGAGGCTACAGAAGTCGAGGCTACAGAGGTCGAGGCTCCAGAGGTCGAGGCTACAGTGGTCGAGGCTACAGAGGTCGAGGCTACAGAGGTCGATTGGTCGGTCGGTTGGTTGGTCAGTCAGTTGCTCGGTTAGTTGGTCGGTTGGTCGGTCGGGTATGACAGTCGGGTCTATCCTCTTGTATCTGACAGACAGCGGGAGGGGATAAAGTCACAGGGAAATCTATAAGTCAGACAGTTGACAGACAGAACTAGACAACGATTCTCTGTACACACACACACACACACACACACACACACACACACACACACACACACACACACACACACAGTATCAATACTTTGGTGTATACACAATACATGTCAAGTACACAACCATGTACACACACAGGACCTAGTATATACACAGTCTCAATATTTCTGTGTACAAATCCTCGGGAAATGCCACGTTCACAGTTTGTATGTTTGCTGTGTATACATTCTTAGGGTACATGGCATACAGAGAATCAGATTTTATGGTCTCTCTCTCTCTCTCTCTCTCTCACTATCTTTTATCATCTCCATCACGGCTGAGACACTCATCACTCCCTCTCTCTCCATATCTCTCCCTCTCTCCCCTCTCCTTTCCTATCCCTCTCTCCCTCATGGCCGCCAGACAGTCCAACATCTCGTGATAGGTAAATTATTTAACTACTTATATGTAGAGCAAAATTTGGTAGGTAGTATAATAATGTACGATTATCATATTTCACTTTTCTTAGTCATCTCTTTTGGGCTATAAGTTTCCTATAATTAATATTGGTAAAATTAATTATGGTTGATTAATTAAGGAAGTACACCTGTTTCATGAGTTAAATTCCTACCTGCTGACTCACCTGAGCTGCTGACTCACCTACTTGGTGACTCACCTGAAGTGTTGAGTAAATTGTGTTGTTGTTGTTGTTGTTGGCTGATGAATAACTCTTATTCAGTTTATTTAGTTATGTCAGAAAGCTCTATGAATACAGATCCTGAATGACTAACTAAACTGACTTGCTTGAACACTACTGGCCAGAGTCATCACACACACACACACCACACACACACACACACACACACACACACACACACACACACACACACACACACACACACATACACACACACACACACACACACAAAGCGACAAAAAACAGGAATTTCAGAGTCTTTTTTGTGCTGGACACCCTGAAGACCTTTTGTTAGAGCTCGGCCGATGATGACCGCAGCTGTAGTGGCACCATCACCATTACTACCACTACCATCATCACCACTACCACTACCATCATCACCACTACCACTAACATCACTACCACTAACATCACTACCACTACCATCATCACCACCACCACTATTGCCACTAACACTACCATCATCACCACTACCACTAACATCACTATCACTAACATCACTACCACTACCATCATCACCACCACCACTATTGTCACTAACACTACCATCATCACCACCACTACTACAACGACTACCACCATTACCCACCACCACCATCATTACTACCACCACCAACACCACCATCCGGGAAAGACATAGTGGTACCAGGAAGAAGACTAACAGAGGAGCCTTCATAAGACTCCACAGTATATGAGATGAGACACAAGAATTTATCACACACACTGGAGTAAGGCGAAGCAGAACATCCCAGAATATGTCAGCTAGAGACTATAAAATACTCCACATAATATTGAAGAAATAATTAGAATTTACTAAGACTCTCTGTATACTGTTATGTAAAGTCTATACTGGTATGTTAGAAAACTTATTAAGAACTTCGTAGAGCTTTTGTCTATAAGGAAGAACTTTTAAGAACATGGTAGAACTTTGTGTATAAAAGTCAACTCTTCGACGCCAGGATACAGCACTGTGTACGACTGAATAATTTATCAGAGCTGGTCCAATATTGAAGGTTCAACGCCGCGGTCTCAGACAGCCTGCCGCTCTCCGTATGGTACTCACTTGACGGGGAGGTCCCTGTACGGTCTTCACTTGACGGGGAGGTCCCTGTGTGGTCTTCACTTGACGGGGAGGTCCCTGTGTGGTCTTCACTTGACGGGGAGGTCCCTGTGTGGTCTTCACTTGACGGGGAGGTCCCTGTGTGGTCTTCACTTGACGGGGAGGTCCCTGTACGGTCTTCACTTGACGGGGAGGTCCCTGTGTGGTCTTCACTTGACGGGGAGGTCCTGTGTGGTCTTCACTGGTCTGTGGTTTCACTTGACGGGGAGGTCCCTGTGTGGTCTTCACTTGACGGGGAGGTCCCTGTGTGGTCTTCACTTGACGGGAGGTTCCTGTGTGGTCCTGTGTGGTCTTCACTCTGACGGGGAGGTCCCTGTGTGGTCTTCACTGACGGGAGGTCCCTGTGTGGTCTTCACTTGACGGGGAGGTCCCCGTGGTCTTCACTTGACGGGGAGGTCCCTGTGTGGTCTTCACTTGACGGGGAGGTCCCTGTGTGGTCTTCACTTGACGGGGAGGTCCCTGTGTGGTCTTCACTTGACGGGGAGGTCCCTGTGTGGTCTTCACTTGACGGGGAGGTGAGGTTGTGTCAGGTGTGGTTAAGATGAAGAGAGAGGAGGTTTGTGTCAGTCTCAAGAGAAAGAATTTTTGAGACTTCATTTAACGCTGTGATGTTTCTTAAATGTGAAAAATACAGGTATATAATTCAGTTACAGGTACAGGTATAGATACAGGTACAGGTATAGATACAGGTACAGGTACAGGTACAGTGATTTCTACATAGCGACGTAGTAATATTCTCCTTTTTAAATGAAGACGAACTTTGACGTTTACAATGTGTGAATAATTCTGTCATCTCCCAGTAATAAATTCTGGCGTGATACAAAAGACCAGACAATTAGATAGAGATCGATCGATCATGTTTGTAGTGGAGGGCTGTGGTCACCAACCCCCAGATATTGTTTGGAGAAGAGGACTGTGGTCACCAACCCCCAGATATTGTTTGGAGAAGAGGACTGTGGTCACCAACCCCCAGATATTGTTTGGAGAAGAGGACTGTGGTCACCAACCCCCAGATATTGTTTGGAGAAGAGGACTGTGGTCACCAACCCCAGATATTGTTTGGAGAAGAGGACTGTGGTCAGCAACCCCCAGGATATTGTTTGGAGAAGAGGACTGTGGTCACCAACCCCCAGATATTGTTTGGAGAAGAGGACGTGGTCACCAACCCCAGATATTGTTTGAGAAGAGGACCTGGTCAACAACCCCAGATATTGTTTGGAAAAGAGGGCTAAGCTATGGTCACCAACCCTCAGATATTGTTTGGAGAAGAGGACTGTGGTCACCAACCCTCAGATATTGTTTGGAGAAGAGGACTGTGGTCACCAACCCCCAGATATTGTTTGGAGAAGAGGACTGTGGTCACCAACCCTCAGATATTGTTTGGAGAAGAGGACTGTGGTCACCAACCCCCAGATATTGTTTGGAGAAGAGGACTGTGGTCACCAACCCTCAGATATTGTTTGGAGAAGAGGACTGTGGTCACCAACCCCCAGATATTGTTTGGAGAAGAGGACTGTGGTCACCAACCCCCAGATATTGTTTGAAGAAGAGGATAGTGGTCACCAACCCCCAGATATTGTTTGTAGTGGAGGACTTATATTAATTATATCACATCCAACACACCTAAAAAAAATGGGTGTTTCAAACTACACTGTCCCTCAACACTTGAGAGAATTTACGTATTTAACGAGAGCTAGAGGCAGAACAACGCACTCTACCTTAACACACTATACCACCAGTTAACACACAACACCAACGCACTCTACCTTAACACACTATACCACCAGTTAACACACAACACCAACGCACTCTACCTTAACACACTATATACCACCAGTTAACACACAACATAACGCACTCTACCTTAACACACTATACCACCAGTTAACACACAACACCAACGCACTCTACCTTAACACACTATAACACCAGTTAACACACAACACCAACGCACTCTACCTTAACACACTATAACACCAGCTAACACACCGTAGTCAACAATAACAAAGCCTCAGTTTTTGTCAACGGTGAAGTTAGTTGTTACAGAGTGATGGCCGCACTATGAAAGTCACCGTGAAATTGAATCCACAGATATTGGCTGGAAGGCAATTTCACGAGCGGCAAGTTTGGTCTGAGTTTTGTTAAGGATTAGGTGAATACTGGTGGCGAGTGGCTTAGTAATACCTGTAGGGAAAGAGCGAGAGATACTTACATGTAGTACACCCAGTTGATGACCTGTAGATTATTGGTACTCATTGGTATGTACTCTCTAACTAGCATTGATTACTATACAGTGCCTGGTGGTGACTCTGTGAACCATTTAGATAGAATTACGGAGTTTAAGTGTCATAGTGAAATATTTATGTAGAGTCACAGAGCTTGGTGACTGTAAATAATTCAATTAGAGTCACAGAACTTGATGACTTGATGATTCTAAAAATTATTCAGTTAAGAGTCACAGAGTTTGGTAACTATGTGGATAATTTAGAGTCACAGAGCTTGGTGAGATAGAGTCAGTGTGGGAGGTGGCTGGACAATCCCTCGCGTATAGAGCTGGACGAGGATTAAGTAAATTGTTGTGACAGTTTTACCATTCAACTCTTTTTTTTTGTCTTACCGCGTGGAAACTCCTTTCTTTGATGTCTCACCACGTTGAAACTTTTTATCAATGCTGGCGAAAAGAGAGAGAGAGAGAGAGAGAGAGAGAGAGAGAGAGAGAGAGAGAGAGAGAGAAAGGCGTTCAATACCCAAAACACAGCAAAACAGCATCAGGGAGTTCACTTGATAGGGAGACCTCTCACAGATTTACGACCGACACCCAGCTGGACGATGGACTGCTCTCTCTCTCTCTCTCTCTCTCTCTCTCTCTATTTAACTATCATTCTCTCTATGCTATTCCCTTTGCAATCCATTTCTGTCTTACATCATCATCATCATAGTAGCCACATCATCACCACTGTGGCCACAACTTCATTATCATGGGGGCCACATCATCATTATTACTGTGGCCACAATTTCATCACTATGGGGGGGTCACATCATTATCATCATGGTGGCTACATCATGATCATCATAGTGGCCACATGATTACCCCTGTGGCCACATGATCCTCACTGTGGCCATATAATCATCACTGTGGCCACAACAGGTCTTCAGGTGGTCACTTAATGATCCGAACGACCATAAAATATCAGGAACATCTGCCCCTGAGTTCCTGCCAACTACCTCCACTTCCTCCTCCTCCTCTTCCTTGTCCCTCTCCTTGTTCTTCTCTTTTTCCTCCTCTTCCTCTCCATTCTCCTTGTCCTCCTTGTTTCTTCTCTTCCTCCTCTTCTTCTTTCTTCATCTTCTCCTCCTCCTCCTCCTCCTCCTCCTCCCCACCGTAACATGAGATTCACACAAGGGGGCTCTTCGTCTTTCCTATGAGGGCTGAGAGAGAGAAAGGGAGAAAGAGAGAGTTAAGAATTACAGACAGACAGACGGACGGACGGATGGACGGACATACAGACAGACAGACGGACGGATGGACGGACGGATGGTTGGATAAGTTAGGTTTGGTTAGGTTAGGATTTTTATCAAATTAGTTACTTAAATGTATTATCATGAGCAACATGATCGTCTATGGCCAGGCATAAGTGTGTGTGTGTGTGTGTGTGTGTGTGTGTGTGAGAGAGAGAGAGAGAGAGAGAAAGAGAGAGAGAGAGAGGGTGGGGGACAGCGTATCTCAGTGTTGCTATTGTTGTTGTTGTTATTGTTGTTGTTGTTGTTGTTGTTGTTGTTGTTGTTGTTGTTAGAGAATCAGCTGACGGACCACAACAACAACAAACATCAGCTGGTAATCTAAGTTGGGCGTCGCTTGTGTTGTCTTGACAGAGTGTGTTTGTGTCTTGTCTCACTGTCATGTTATCTCTCCCTCTCTGAATGTGTTTGTGTGTGTGTGTGTGTGTGTTTGTGTGTCTTAAGGCGTGTAGTAGTGTAGTACCTTCAGAGGGGTGACGATATTTACGAGGCAGCCCACAACTGTCTAACAATTCTTTCTCTCGCCTCAAGTTCAGACTTGACTGAACCTAAGAGATCGTCGGCTCTTCCCTCCCTCTGTTACATAGCTCGGTATAGCAGTGTAGAGCAGGACACTCCCCCTCCCTCCACGGTATAGCAGGACACACACAGACACACCCCTCTCTCTCTCCCTACCATAACAACGGCGACAATAAAATTCTACAGCAACTGATGCTTATCTGAGCGTTATTTCACAATGTAACATAAAAATAACTGTAACACTTAAATATAATACATTAAA